ATTTCTGTTTTGTGAACAAATAGATGTTACTTTTTTGAGTAGAAAATTCATTTTCCACCCCAATTGCAAGAAAATTCTCTTATACATGTACTTTAACATCATGAATCATATCTTGTGCATTTTAATGAGATAAGTGTATAACTGTGCGATCTTTGATCTTTCGTGATTCCTACTATATCTCGTATCTTTTTAACATGTACCAATAGGCTTCAGCCATTCTTGACTTTCTTGACCTTGTTCTGGAATCAAATGTTCCAACACCTCTCTTGACAACAATTCTATTTTTGAAACTCTCTAAGAACCTTATAAGGCAAATTGATGCACATTATTCTGGTAGGATATTTGATGCTAGTATCACATGAATCGAGAGGATTGAAAACAAATATTTACTTCTTTACGATTCAGTAAATTTCAACTCAAAAGACAACAAATTCGATTCAAGAATGATAAAAAGTATGTTTGGGCTATCAATTTTGATTTTGAAATTTGAATTTATGTACATGATTTCTAAAACAAGGAATTTTGCAGTGCTTAGATTTCAAATCTAATAATGCAAGTTTATCTTTACACGACATTTAATATTTGTGAATACAATTGATACACATATTTGCAGGCTATGCATAAAAAATGCATATGCACAACCAGAACTTGACAGTCATGAATATGTTATTAAATATGGATTTATGCATATTATACTGGTTTTGATAATCTTTAATTATGTTCATAGATATTACAGTCAAACTGATGATCAGATTTAATAATTCCTACCTCTCTGTATGATTGAGATCCATCTTTGCAAAATCTTACCAACCGTTGCACTAGGCCTTCCAGGTGAACACTAACATTATTCTTTTTTATACTGGAAAAAATGGTAAAAGTTTTCTGTAGATATGGTCAAAAGTTTGTCCTTGAAGCCATTAAATAAAGATCAGTGTCAATAAAATTAACAATCTGCTTGAAAGTTTTATTTGGAATATTTGATAATTACGTATTTAGTATATTATTAAATATAAATCCTATTTTGTTTTCTTTATTTTCTGCAAAAAAATTCAGATATAAGCAGTTTGAATATTTTGAGAAATTCGAGCCTTCGCCATTTTGAATAGTCATTTAGCTAAATTAAAGAATTATAAAGTGTTAATTTTAGTTTTCTTTTATCATTGTTATAGTTGCATTACGTTCAGTAAGATATGAATTCACGCATTATTTCTCCTATCTAAACAACATTAACAAATACTTAAAAAAATATGTGTCTGTCATGATGACCTCTTTAACGCCATTTTCATGAAGGCCAGCAATTTTTTTTTCGGAAACATATCAAAAGCTCGGCTGGACCTAAACTAATTATTTGACCTTAAAACTTATTTGTAGTCTTCTTTTTAAAAATCAGGACCAGACTATTCTATAACCGCGATACGGTTGACTTACAAGTAAAGAGTACAAGTCAATATTTGCAATATCCTATCCAATAATACTTTAATTATTTTCTTTTACTTTAGTATTTACATCTAATTTAGTAATGAATACAGATTTTTTTAATTCAATCGTCAGTATTAATTTTACAATTGATAATTATGAGAACAGGTTGATTAAAAGATGTATTGTGTGCATACAAATGTAAAAGTTGGCTGAAAACAATTATCTATTTAGCTAGAATCTTAAAGAGGACGAATATTGGGACTCTGAAATCATATCTTTAGAAATGAATAAGTTTTCATAATATCAGAAACTAATGCACTGGAACTTAACATATGTGTTAAATTACTTTCAGTTTTTATTTTTCGATAAATATTTTTGTTACCATTTGACAAAAATTTATTGCATTAGTTAAAGAAGTTGACTGGAAATGACAAAAAGTGGGAATTTTGAAGGTTACTGAAATTTATAATTCAAATATTTAAGAATTTCCTATTTACATAGTTTACAATCAAACTCATTCCTGTAATAAGATATACATGTACACAATCCATGCATAATTTTTTTTGTATCAAGTGCCACTTGTATCTTGTAAAAAGAAATTCAAACAAATAAACAGTAATATAATTATCTCAATTAAGTCCTTTTTTACGATGCTTTGTCAATTGCATCAATTGTTTTACTACACACTAAGACATACAAGTTCATTATGACACAAATATGTTTAAAGGGCATATACATGTACCAATAACCGCCATGTCATTCATCTTACCAATATTTTGATTTTAATTGCCAATATGTCATTCATAATACATGCATGGTCAACAATTTGAAATCAATTTCTATTTAGATCCAAGCAGACACAATAAATTCATTAACGAAATTCAATTTATTTTTCAGCTGATTTACTCAGTGCAATGAGTTTATCTAAATAATGCATACCCATTTGTTGATGGATGCATCTAGAATAAAAGAAACATTTTTCAAAACAATGAGGCCTTGCAACTTATTTTACCTAAATGAAACATTTGTCGCCATTGTAAAAATAAAAAAATAATTCAGAATTGTTTTAGATATGTCTAGATTCACACAAAGCCGCCATTAGAAGCCAGAGGCTGTTGAAATTGATAAAAGGTCCGATTGTCGTCTGCTATGTACTTGTAATGAAAATGGTGAAGAGAACAAACAGTAATCGATCTTAAATTTCACAAGATTACAAATCTGTGAACAAAGCATAAAACATGGACTCTTTGAAAATCCCTCTAGGTTGGTTCAGGCGCCTAAGAGAAGTAAGCCTCCCTTGTTGGGGAGTCACAACCGCCTTGAACCCTATGTATTGACCAGGTAAATGGAATAATACATAGTCAAATTTAGTATAAATCAAAGGCCCTACTTTTAATTGGTATTAAAAACGTTAGCCAAAATCCGATCTCAAGATAGATCATTTTTGAAAATATTGGGGTCTATGATAATAGAATTTACGATATGTTTACTTAGTTGAAATCCACGTAACATCAATTTTTCTGTCAGTAACCCGCATCTGTTTAAACATTGATCAAATTGAAAGCAAGCTCTTGAAAATCAAATGTGCTGAGTGCAAGTGATAGCGAATATTAAAGAATTCAACAGAATGTGGCGTAAAACCCCAGTCACATTTCCAAAAACGAAAGCAAGCAGTCTTGAAAATCAAATGTGCTTCCTTCAATTGAGTGCAAGTTTATTAAGTTGATAGGGAATATTAAAGAATTCAACAGAATATAAATTTTTTGTAACATGAATAATTAATGCGTAAAATATAGAAATCTTAAGTATTCTTTGCTGCTTAGTACACCCTTATCAACACAAGGTGAACTTTATAGTTTGTAATTTAATTAGTTTATAAATTATTTTAAAATTAAATTCCGACAAAGAGTAATTCTGAAGAGTGCATTTGAGCAGGGTTTTTTTTTTAAATTAAGCAATGCACTATTAGGCCTGGACTTATCTGAATTTATATATATTTATAAAATCAATAATGGCTTTCTTTCTACTACACATCTTGAACTATGCTAACGGTCCGTGTAAAAAGTCTAAAATGATTTTGAGTTTTAGAATGTTAATATATTAGTTCAAATATCTTAATTTCAAAAACTCAAATTGATTTGGTATATTGAAATTTAATATTTTAGTTCAAAAATCTAAATTTTCAAATTTCCAAACAGGTTTTAGAATTTTAAGTTTTTAGATTTTTAATTCAAATATTTAAAACTCAAATTACCAAAAACGAGAATGTTGTGAACAATAACCGTAATCATTGTATCTTTTTTGCAGATCGAGAAAAAAGTTTTAAAACGAGTAATTTCAGTTTTTATGGGACCGATCTTACCGCCTCCTTGACCTTGACCTCCCCTTTTGAAGAATGACATTGCATGGGACAAAAGTCTTTCCCTTCAATATTGTAACTCTATACTTCTCATTCGTGCAGTGGCAGCCTATACTTAAATATAAGGCAAATATTGCAAACGACTATGAAAATTAAAATATCGATATGAAGGAATCTCATACCTTTAATCTAATTTAATCAGTAATTTATTATGTACGAGTAAAGTACGTAATTGGATTCGTCGTAGGCATTGTCCATATAAATCTTTTCAAAGAAGGTCAAGGTTAAATTGTTAGAATTACTTCAGTAATTTTTTTTTTATTCTGTGGAACATTCCTTAACAATATTTGTATAAAATAGACAATGACAACGAAGTTAAATAACTGCAAAATTATCATCAAGCAATGACAGAGTTTCCCAAACATAAATTCGCAAAATTGTACAAATAATTATTAATATTTACTATTTTTCCCTCTCCTCAAACCACACCTTAATTCAGAAGGAACGAGATTTCTCATTATCAAGTCTTAAAACGTGCCATCTGATCTGGATAATGCCCGGTGCCCTTAAAATTTCTTTACACTAGTTCTCCAAGAGGAGCACTTACATACAAAATTCAGACTCTGTTGCATTTATTAATGAGGTTATCAAAGTTAATACATGATTGTATATCTTTATTTTAAGGGATTCATCGTTTAACCAGTGATGCTTCTAATAGATTTTTATAATGCGCCAAATTCACAAAAATGAGCTTAACAACGCTACGTAGATTAAGTACGTTTGTGGATTATAAAATATCGTTTCTGAAGTATATATTAATTCCATGATTAGCTTACAATTGTTCCCATCAGTAAAACTACAGTTAACATCATTTCTGACTCATGGACGGATCACAATCAAAACACTGAGGTTTTTGTCTGTTTTTATTTTTGAAAGCTTTTGATTTTATCTAATATTATGAACTACCGGTATGGAATTTAACATTAGACATCCACTAGTACATGCATTTTTTTATGGGTGCGTGATATTAGGAAAGAAACTTTTTTCCTGTTAGCTGAATTATCTTACATACCTCATCACTGAATACAAAGGATTAAACGTGTTTGCGGATCATTAGTTTAAGTACATTCATAAACTAATTATTGATTAATGTTGCTTTAATGTCCATTTACTTGAATTTTCAGTGTCACACGATGGAACCCAGACAGAAGAATTGCTTGGATGATTTTGATAAGTCATACACACCGAACTGCGGAGTTAAAGGCATAGTAAGCGTGAAGTCATCAGCAGCTATGTCTAAAAGATACAGAGACTTTCACAGCAGCCTACAGGAGTATGGAAACAATGCGTCTTTTCACGGATTGCACTTCGTGACAGATCCTTTGTCAAATAAACCTAGAAGGTAATTATTTTTCTTCTCGTTTTAAAGGTAAGTAAAAATTTTAGTGCTGTTATAGTAAATATAATATAGATATAATAAGATATTATATGTGTGAAGAAATAAGTATACAAAAAGTTTTCCTGTTGGACAGAAAGTACAATTTTGAAGAAAAAAATGATATACTAGCCTATTAAAACAAAAGTACTTGGAAAATCATTATATTTTCACAGCATAAAAATACTTATCTTATTCATTCTGTACAAATGACTATAAATATTAAAAGAAAAATACATGTATTAAGATTTCAATAAAGAAGTGTGCCAAAAGTCTTTAAATAAATGATGTTATGTATTTAGGGCAGGAGTTTATATTACAACAAGCAAAAAATTATTACCAAAAAGTATTTGTCAATGATAAATTGTGGAAGTATGCTTTTTCCATATTCCACCAATCATCAGTCCATTTCAGTAACAACTTGGTATAATTTACCATATTCCATCCCAGGTTTTGTTTTTTGGTAACATTCAACCTTTTACAAGGATTAATTGTAACATTAAAAAATACATTTTAATTGCAAGCAGGATGAAAGCAAAAAAATCTTTTTGCAATTTCAGTTCACATAAAATTCATTCAAATTCCTTCAAATTCAGGTTATTCTGAATTTTTTGAAGACGGATTATCTCTCAGGATCAGGAATGTTTGATGTTTATCAAAGCCGACAACAGAAGCTGAGTTGTATTGAAAGATTTTCGTAATTTTATGTCTACAAAGATGAAATCGTACATCAGGCTTGACGCGTGCCTCTCTTTCAAAAATGTTATCATATACAACAAAACAATGAACTTTTTTCGGAGCATATTATTTCACAACACCCCTCTCCCCCCAGCAGCTGCTATTGAATTATAAGTGGAATATATTCTAAATAAAATAATGACGCTTTTTGCACATAATTGGTTTATTTCAACACAACACTCACAGGATATTTTGCAATTATTTCGGTTGTTGAATGCTCCCCTATTGTGCGATATGCGATATCCTCTCCCATCCATCTATTCGTCTTTCTGGCCTATTTGCTAATCTAATCTACTCTTTTGTAAAGATTATATCAAGGATCACATTTTTGGAACAACATTATTTAAATTTTTATGAGATACAAACTAATGATGATAAAATAAAATAGAATTACTATCTTTCAGAAATTCTAATATCGATTTAGTTAAAAATCTTAAATGATGCAAATTCATTAAATTGATTGAGAATCATTTGAATGTATATTTATTATACTCCTTATTGTTCAATGTATCGTTACTTTCGAATAAAAAAATACTTTTAAATCAAAATAAAGAATAAAACGAAATTGGATTTCTACAGACTATTGAATTTAGAACTGTTCTTTTAATTTCAAACCAGTGTAGATTTAGAGCTGCAATTTGTCATGTTATAGACATGATTGAAAATCCATAATGCTATGAAACAAACCTTTGACATTTCTGTTTTTGTTCAGGTTATTCTGGTTGCTACTCCTGCTCGCTTGTCTGGCTGTCTTGATTTATCAGATAGTGGACAGAGTCATATACTTTTATTCATACCCCGTCACCGTTAATGTAAAAGTCAACTACAACAGGTCATTGGAGTTTCCGGCAGTCACTATCTGTAACCAAAACGCATACAAGTAAGAATCTTTGCTGATTTTTAATATCATAAAACCGATGTACAAAAAGGTATAAAATTACTTCCACACAAATATTTTATTTTTTTAGTGATTGGGATGTTTAAATGACTACCAATGCTATTAACGATGTAATTATAATACTCTCAACAACCAAAATGAATTTGAATTACCATACTTATATTTGATTCCAAAATCCTTACAAATAAAGATACCAGGCGGACTGCAGTAAACGTTCTACCTAGCCCTTTCATTTTCTCCTCACGAAAATATCAACAGCAGAGAGGAAGAGACTACAGGAGTACTGTACAATAATATTATCAAAAAATGGTGTAGTTCAGGTGTGGATGCTTAAAAATTAGATAGAATTTTCTGGAAATTTGAAAATTACAAAAGATGCGTGAGTTACTGGTTGATAACATTTTGTGGGTTTCGCAGACTCGGACCTCAACAATATGTCGAAATTAATGGCCCTTTATAAGCAGACCTTTTTGTGTTCTAATGAAACTAAGGATTTACTGAAATTACAAATTTTTGTGGGGTTTAATTTACGTTGTTTTCGATGTATGACGAGACACACAAATTCATGTCCACCACGAAATGTAAAATGTTACATACATAAGTACTATAGTTTTTATGATTCATTATGATTAATCTGTAAAAGGGTTTTATCACACTGTCGAGATTTGTCTTAATCAAATCCCTGGGAAATTTGGAGTGACCAAGAAATTTTCCTCAAACCACGTTTTCCTGGCAAAATTTGTAAAAAAGCCCCACGAAAATATGTTATTTTACAGTACTAATATTCAAAATCTTATGCATGAGAAGAAGAAACACTGGCTGTGGCTTTTAATTAAACATTTAGATACTGTATATAGACGGCGTATTGTCAATGTAGAATAGTTATTTCCTTTTATATATGTACACGATATATCCCAAGGAGCTTGATATAAAAGCTACAGAGTCTGCTTAATCTGTTTCATATTTAGATATTTTGTTGAAAAAAGCCTTAATGATACAGCTTAATGATAAACATGATATCTTCAACTTTTCAATCGCCAACTTCCCTTACTTATATGCATTGGACAATATACCTTTATCACCAACATATGGGGTTTATATAGACATGTATCTTGTTGATTCGATACGCAAGATCATGCTTTACGTACGAACAATTTCTTTATCGAGGTGAGTTATTGACGAAAAACTTGATGAAACAAGAATACAAACAGTTTCATTTAAAGTTATCGTTTTCACTTCTATTTTCGATGCCATAGCCTTGTCACGAAATACAATCTAGCATTAATATAAGTCAATCCTGCCCAGACGTTTTTCATATTGATTGTTAAGCCATTATTTATATACTGAATTATCAACGGACTTTTTCCGATCAAGACAAAGAGCACACATTGGGTGTGACCGGCAGGTATTGGATACTCAATCCTCCATGGCACCTGATCCCAACTTAGATGTTCAAGAGGTCCATGTTTGCTCTGCTCCTGACGTGTTTTGAATGAGAGGACTTAAGAGTTAGAATGCTGTACATGTTCTCCTTGCGTTTCATTAAAATATTTTAATACTCTCTCTATAAAAGTTTGTATGCTTTACTTTTGTATTTAAGTCATGCCTCATATGAGTTTAGAGAATTATTTCCAGATTAATTATTCATCTTTTATTGCTTGATAGTTTTCATCAGCTTTTGTTGCATCAACGATTGAATAAACTTTTTTATTCTAACAAAAAAGTGGATTGCGTCAACCAGAATAAAGATACATTGACCAAAATAGCTCAAGGGCAGTCACTCAAAATTAATTATTTAAATTTTAATTTAGGATTTGCAAGTCTTTCAATTTTGGGGTATTTATATTTTGTTTCTTTTTGTGAAGTTGAAAATCAGGTGATGTGTGTTAACAAAGGATATTGATTGACATTGATTGCGTGTGCGATTGCAAAACTTGGGTAAATTATGGTGCAGTTTATATTTTAATGGTTAAATTTATGGCTTATGCAATTATATAAGGTCTGTTGTAAAATTTGCCATCCTCCATCACAAGCAAGTGGTGGCGTTTCAATAAAGTGAAAAATCTCAGGAGATGTTTGTTAGGCAATCAAACAAAATAAAACATTAAATATTAAACAGTTAAAAAGGCTATCCGATAACTAGTTTAATTAAACTAAAATAAAAATAAAAAAATACAAAATGGAAAAGATGCATTTTTTTTTTACATTTGTGGTACTAAAATGGAATTTGTTTCAGAGCGACACTTTCTGCTTCACTTGGTCGATACAGACTCATAGAAAAGATGTACTCCGAGTCCTTCAACCGCACCGATCTCCAACAATTTTCAGCTGAAAACATTTCCCTCGGCGATCTCTTTCTTCAGTCCTCACACAGGAGGAATGACTTCATTTTCAGGTATTATGAACAGCCTATCATTAACCCATAAGTACATAATAAACTTCTGTTAATCTGCCATTTGAAAAGTAATGAGTATGTTTTTAAAAATAAATATGTATAAAATGAAGAATTGAAACTGGAAAGGTTTATTTTGATTTGACGTCTTTGAACAGATGCTTTGCAGATTTCAGAATTTGTTCTTCATCCTTTGAATTCTAGTATCTGCATAATGTTATCAAAGAGAAAATATAAAGAAGGGAAACAATCATAACAAAGATAGGAATAAACTTGGAACTTTTTCATCTATAAATCAGAAGAAACAGTCCATGGATACAGATTTTCTTAAATTTAAAAAATTCTAATGCTTAAAAAATAAATCCTATTCAAAAACCTGTAGAATTTTGAATGTTAAAAATCAGAATTGAGCGAATGAAAAAAAGTATTAAGTTTTCCTTCTAAAATCTTAATCATTAGAGAAACATTGAGAACATGCAACTAAACCCTTTTAATAATTCAGAAGACGGTCATTGACAATCTTCTTCAAAAGAAATCCATTGATAAAATCTAATAGCCCTATTCATTATTTAAAAGAGAAGTCCTTGAGAATTCTTTTGCTTTAGCATGCAGTGTGTTATCCCATTACTTCAGCTTTTACGAAATGACATTCTGGAAAAAAAATATCATGCATAAAATTTTATTCCAAAGAAAGTTATTCAGATCAATCAATATTTTTGAACTCGTAGATTTTTTCTGTTATTGTATATTCTATGAATATAAAAATATAATTTTCCTTAATATTTTAAGAATTAAAACTTTTCAAATGCACCAAGGATATAAAGACAAATTGAAGAAGCCCAGATAGATTTCACACTGTTTTTTGCCTGAAAAATAGTTTATCATATCTTATCATATCATATTTTATCCAAAGACTCAAAATTTACTTGGCCCAAACATTTTCTTTATTATTTGAAGATACAAAGTAAATGATATCAAACAGCACTAGAGTCACACAAAAAAACTTAATAGAAGAAAGAAAGGGTTTTTCTGTGTGGTGTAAGAGTACGAAGAAAATGAAATATTCTAGCAGATTTGCTGATATATTCAACTTTAGCTAGAAATGGTACACTGAGTTAAGAATTTAGCAATGGATTATAGTTTAGACAGAATGACGGTGTAGGAAAATATCTCCTTTCTGTTTCTCAAAATTAATACAGAAGAATGCATAGGGTTAAAAAAAAAATTACAACCTATAACTAAACAAATTTATATTTATAGCTAAAATCCAAATAAATGGACTAAAATTTTAGAAATATAAACAATTAAAGATTTTTAAAAAAAATATTATAAAAATATTATGATATAGAGTTTTAAGAAATCTCAAATGAGTGTAATTTTTCATACAAACTCCGTTATTGGTAGCTTTTGAAAGCTTCGAATTTAATTAAAAATTATGAGCAAATATTAGTTTTAAAAAATCCATTTTGTAAACGGTTAAACCTAGTTGCAAAATGTGACTTTCCCGATTTTTGTAATAATGTGACCTTTTCCGATTTTTTCCGAGTTTGATATAATCTGCAGAGAAAAAAAGGCTATTTTATTGTAGCTAGTCAAATAATTTTGATTTAAATTTGAATTTTTATTTTACTACTTTATTATATGTGAAAATTGGAGCAAACGATGAAATATTCGAAGCACATAATAATGATTATTTTATCTTAATAATACTTCAAAAAATCGTCATGAGTTCCATACCTTTTAAATATACATACATGAATTTTCCTATAAATGATGGTATAATGAAAAGTTGTGACAAAAGTCCACTTATATATTTTTTTAATAACCTCTGTGTTAAATGTTTTTGTAAAATTAGAACGCATTCAGATTTTCTTACTTAGTATGTGAATTTATAATTTTACAGACGTATTTGGAAAGGCCAAGTCGTTGATGAGGAAGACATACATAAGATGGCTACCGACCACGGAGTTTGTTACACTTTCAAAAACTACGGACTTGATGATTTTGTTACATCCCCAGGTAATGCTTACATGCAAATCATGTACATTAATTTCTCTTATCTAAAAAATTTAAATGACAATGGGAAAACATAAAATCGAAACATAATTTTCCCAGTCTTCATGAATATATCTGACTTGTTTGTTAATTTGACTGACGTCATATAATTTAGGAGTTGAAAATGGGTTGCGTTTGACACTGAACATTGAACAATACGAGTACATGCCAGGACCTCATGATGCAGCAGGAATAAAGATGCTTCTTCATGATCGAAATGAAATTCCCCGCGTCCACGCACTCGGTCAAGCTATACCGCCAGGGGCCCACGTGTTTGTTGGTGTAAAAATTGTAGAGGTAGGAAGATGATTTGGTTCCTCATGCCTTACATGTTACAAATTGAGAACAATAAATGTATTCTCATTATTTTAATGACATTTTTCACAACGTATCCGTGATATATACTGAAATGTATTCTCAATACATTTATTATTCTTAATTAAGAGTTAACACAAGGTATATACAATCACCAGTCCAGATTTACTTTTGCAAAACAACCCGAGGGGTAAAATTTTCGTGGATTGAGGAAAAAATAGATTGATTCATGGGGATTTAATATTGTGGTTGATGAATACAAAAATTGCATTTTGTGGTACACATAACTTCGTGGGTTTCTTTATACCACGAAAATTAAAACCCAACGAATATAAGTGATTTCGCAGTATTTGTCTGATACAGGTATCGAATCTCCCACCTCCCCATGGAACCTGTCAGGATAAAACCCTGGAGTACGTAGATGTGTATACGACAGAAGCTTGTCAGTTAGACTGCCTCACCAAAAGGGCGGCAACCGTCTGTGGATGTCGGTCATTGTTTATGCCTGAAAAAGAGGGTTTGTATATATTTGTCCTTTAAAAAGAATGCATTTTATGTTTTCCTAAAAAGAATAGAGCTTCAAGGTATGGCACATCAATTTTCCTTATGTTTTAATTCATTCTGAAAAAAGTTCATTTGAATGTTGTCAAGCACAAGATAACATTAATATGAAAACATATTTAACTATACAACTGTTTTCCTGATATTATTACATAAAGCATTTAAAATATTATTTCTTTGAAGTGTGATCATTATCACATTTTGAAAACTGATTTCACTAAAAAACAAAAAAAACATTAGCAAAATGACCATTAAGATAATTTTTCTTTGAGTTTATTCAATTTTATTTCAGTTTTAAATTGGTATTACTTAAAAAATTAACACAATTTTATTGGATTTTCAGCCAAATAATAAAAAAGCTTGAAAAAAAAAAACCTACTAAGTCTTCGAGACAAAGTGTCCTTACAAGAAAATGAACAATTATTAAAAGGAGACAGAGCCTTAATCTCTTTAAATTTAATTTTTTTCAGGATATCCTCCAATCTGCACGCTGGATGAATTCTATGGGTACATGTCTAAAGGATCATGATGTATCTAAAGAGATAAACAACATTTTGTAGTTTGTAAAATACTTAAATTTACAGCTACATCTATTAACCATGAATTAAAGAAATTATTTATTGTATGCATTTGTTCTGATAAAGTTAAGTTCAGTGTATTTTGAATATACTTACAGCTACATGTAATTTAAAGCATACATGTACATTTAATGATTATCATATTTATTTTAGGTAACCATAATATTTATTTTGAACAATACATGTAATTAGTTATAGTCTGTATAGAAATACTAGATACATTTATATGTATGCAAGAAAGATTTTTTCCAGACGAATTTCCGACAATATCTGAAAAACTCTGTGACTGTCCAGTTCCATGTCAATTCAGACTTTATGAAACAGATATATCATATGCCAGCACTTCAGCCTACAGTTTGAACAAATTTTTAAATGACAACGATAAAAAGAACTTGTCTCAAAGTGTGTTAGAAGGAGCGGAAGTTACGTCACGTTATGAGGAAACTCAATTTTCAAAGGTTCAGTATCTGTACAACCGCTTGATAAATGACATGATAACGGTACAGAAAAGGGTCCTTGTTAACTTGAAGCAAATTGTCAATGAAGCCCTTGTTGGGGCTAACAAAAGATATCAAGAAATCAAAGACCATTATATTTGGAAGGAATACTTATACAGATATCAAGCTTATATTCTGCAAAAAAATTTCATGCGTCCTCGCGATGCATATGAAGAACGCACTTTCCATATAGTGGCACTAGGGTATGCTGAATACATAATGACTATAGAAAGTAGAATTCGAGAATTATCCAATGAAAATTTTACAGATAGAGCTACGAGGCAACTATGGTATCAGGACACATCAGACATGTTGACAAACAGGGAAAGGATAATAGAGATTGCATTGATAAATTTCACATCCCTGATAGAGGCATACGATACTGGAATACAAATATTCAATTACAGATTCTTTTCTACACCACGTTCTCATAATATTCCTGCTGCACCAAAATTACTCATCAAGGAATCAAGAGTTCATAACAGCTACGCAAGAAAGTATGGAAAACGATTTGGGTCTTATCTTGAAAGAACGATTACTATTCTTAAGTTTTGTCAAGAAGTATTGGACGAAGCCTATTTTAATATGACAATGGACGAAGCAAATATGACAGAGTGTCGTGAAAAATTTCGATATTTAATGAGAAATTGGGTGTTTGCAAGAAGTGTGTTTTATTTTGATACCATAGACTGGCCTCTGAGGCAGATAGAAGAACGTCAGCAAAGATTTGACGAGCAGTGGAACGAATTAAAAACCGTGTTCGAAAATCTGAATCAAAGTTTAACTTCTCTGAAGACCGACATACAAGTTTTTGAAAGGGATACATTTACAAGTATCGAACATATACGAGATTCTATAGAGGCCTATCTGAATGATACATTGACAAAACTTCATATCTCGGAAATCTTCACAGCTGTCAGTTTTCAACATTTGGTCACAAAGTTAGATTTATTTTTTCAACAAATACGTTCCAGGGAAAAATCCTTATATGATTGGTTAAGCCAGATGCAGAATGATGCGTATGGCATTTTAAGAGTGATAGTTTCTGATGAGGACTCTTGGGAATATTACAATTTTACAGGACGGACAGATTATTTGGGTAATATTTCGGACATTGGGAGTAACTTGATAGAAAATTATACTTCAGTAGCTGAAACAATGCAGTTTTCTGTCTGTGTGAACGGAAGTGATTCTATATTACTGTCGACATTACACGATTTCGTGGATGAAATGACGTCTTATAAAGAATCACTAAAGATTGACAGCAGTTTTATCAAGTGAGAATTGCTTTTTTGTTTTACCGAGATAACAGGTTTTCTTTATAAAAATATACGCATTTACAATATAGAGTGTCATAATCGTTGTCATTTGTATACATATACTGTAAAATTGAATAAAATAAGCAATATGTAAATTTTTTAGTTTAATTTTTTTTCTTCCACTTCCAGAGATAATTTTCTACAGGTAGACATTTTTTATCGCCAGATGAGTTACGAAGAAATTCATCAGCAAGAAGCCTACGATATGTTCTCTCTTTGGTGTAAGTGCTGAAATTAAAACCACCATGATTGGTACCTTTGTAACAAGTCGTGGAAGAACCAAAATGACTTGCCGAATACTGATAAGTTTATTGAACATTCTTTTTTAAATTGAGATTATATCAAAACAATAGAAAATAAACTTGATAGAAATTAAAATCATTGACAATGAGAACAATTGTAAGGGTATTCTTTCTACGAAAATAAGGTCTTCAGGAGTTTCTATCTTTTTCTTCTTCAGGTGACATCGGAGGAACTATGGGGCTTTTTCTGGGAGCAAGTTTCCTGTCTGTTGTAGAAATTGTAGACTTTATACTTACCCACACGACATACCAAAAGAAAGGAAACAAGGACAAAGTAGTCAGAAAACAGTTCCTGTAGAAACAAACCAAATATCTACTTCTATAGTCATGTATCTTATATTATACACTTAAATGAAAGGTCACTGGATTTATCAAATTTGAGAAATTCCATTATTAATGCTTTATAACTTTAGCTTGGTCAAATAAGGTGTTTCAGGGCATAATTTTTATGTAAACAAGGTGAAAAATCATATTTTTAACTGTCATTTCCAATGAAATATTAAGAAAAGCAGTCATGAATGGGTTTTTTTCGATATTCGGCAAAGGAAATGTACCCAGATTGCCTACAGTCTCTCAGAAAACGGATAAGTATGTTTTATTCTTCTTTAAATCATATCAAATTTATATTGCAGTTTACTTTTCATATGATTTCAAATTGAATTACATTTATCGCTGGAAATAAAAATTGGCGGCAAAAATTGAAATTGATTATCTTCATAATGGATCTAGCAAAAAAAATAGTCTCAAGTTATTTACGGGGTATTCACTTTACATGATGCTATGGAAATTTTTTATTATTATAAAAATTGCAAAAATGCTAACAAAGTCATTTTACCTCATATATAATTTATATATAAAATATTTTAACAGTTTTTTGTAAGTATAATAAACATGTATATCCAATGATTATAATGAGTGTCTAACAAATTCAATATAGTTTAAATGAAAATGTGAAATCATACATTTTACATATACAAAATATATGTTTTTCCAAGTCTAAAATGTCTGCAGCTTACTGTATGGGGGTTTATCGGAATAACAGTCCTTTTGGAGAGCATCAATATTTTTTATTAGCTGAATTTTTACTGTACAGACTGTAAAAGGCGAGATACATTTTATTATATTTTATAATTTCTTATCGCTGCTCGTTTTTAACCTTATTATCTTGTTAAAAATTAAATTTGTAAATACTGTATTTTCAGGACTTAAGCTTACTAAGGTTTTACAAGACAGAAAGGAAATTTTAGAAAGTACAATATTGTTAAATGAAAAATTAATTGAAATGGATTAGATAACTGTTTTAACTCGATATCAGTTTAAAAGTTTGATAGCTGATTATTTTAAGAAAATATGCAAGAACAAAAGCCAATATTTGGAAATGCGGAGAAAATTCGGACTAAATTTTTAAAATTTCATTTTGTTATCAAAAATTTTCATTTCTTCCAATATCACTTTGGTTACATATATTTTTAAACTTCATTTTACTAGTATTATATATGTTAAAGCGCTATAATTATTTCAAATAATTGAATGCCATGAAATAAGAGATTCAAAAATTTGAACAAAAATATTTTGACAACATATCTCGATTATATCTCATTAATTTGTTCATTGGTCTCATATGATATTAATACAGTTAGAATAATGGCACCCAAAAGTAAAATCGGGCTATAAATGGTTTAAAGTTCTTATCATTCAGATTTTCGTCATTTAGATTAAAATAGGGGAGAAAATTGGAATCTGACAGAGGAAATTCAGATTGTTATAATCAATAAGTTTATGACTCAAACTCTAATCATTTAGGTCTCTGAAGCAACGCTGATCCATTACTTTTATATAACATTATTTTAAAGGTCTTTGTTGCTTGTAATATTTTGTGATAAAAGGAAAGGATAAAAACTGGTCATAAGTGTGAAAAATTGAGGTATGTTCAGAGAAACACTCAGGGGCAACTAGCATGAAAAGTAGGTCATTGGCCCAGTTTTTTGAAATTGAAATGTACGTGTGACACAAGAAACATAGGCATACATTACGTGCAATAGATTGTTTTCGTGATTATCAGTTGTTTTTTTTTTCTCGTCGTCTGAGTAACCGTTATTCTTAAGTGAATATGTACACTTTGAAATAGGATACATTAAATACTGATGTTTTATAAGCTAAGATGTCCTTGATTAAATATTTTCTGCATTTTCTTTTATTGTCTTTTTTATTTTAAGATTGCTTTGAGTACGTAAATAAAAAGAAATGCCAGAGATAATTATTATAATATAATGTATTAATATATTCTAAAAGTTCGATTGTATTGTTTTAATCTGATCTTCTCGTTTGCCTTACATACTTTCTTTTTCCCGGAATTTCTACTCCAATTTGAGCATTTTCCACTTTATCGTTTGGAATATAAAAGGTGGCGTCTTTAAGATTTGCAATTGGTACAGGAACAAAGACTTAAATAGAGTCTATAAACACCTTAAAAAGCAAAAAACTAAGGTTCCTAAATGGCCTTTTGCACTTTATTCACCTTTACAAAATAGTTAGTTGTAGATGTGCATTAAGTTTTTTTTTTGAATTTGTGAAGGAGCACACGGTGAGTGTGAACGCTTGAAAGGGGATGCTCACTCCCCAATGGCACCAGATCCCATCTCTGATGTTTTGGGAGGTTCGTGTTTGCTTTGCTCCTATTTTGTATTGTTTTATGGACTTTTGGGCTTGAAGACTGTTCGTTATCTCCATGTATTTTAATTAAGTTTCACCCTTGAAGGCGAATAAGGTTGTAAATATAGAAAAACGAAGTTTTCCAATTGATAGTTTCATCTTATAATGTTTAATTTTATGCTCAGTTTGATACATTAAATTTAATTTAGCTAGATTCTGTCGACAGACAGTAATATCCACACAAAAGTGCTTATTATTCCTTAATGTAGTATATTACATATTTAGGCAATCAAGATCTTAAACAAGCTCACTCGATAAAAAAATAAAGGCTCAAAAGAGTTTTTTTTCCCCTCGATCAAATTTATCATCGCCCGTCGCTGTTGTCTTCGTCGTAAGTTTTTAAAACATATCATCTCAAGAACTTTTTTTGCGAATTCAAACAAAATTTACCCCAAAGTTTCCTGAGTGAATGTGATTTAAATTTGTTTAAAGGTGGTGCACCTTTTTAGGGGTGACAAATAATATTACCATGGTTAGCTACATAGATAAGTTTAAGAAATTCATTCAGTTTTCATAACAATAAAATATATTCTTCTATTTAAAAAAAAGTTTGATCTCAATGATCAGTGTTGGCATGACTTCTACAGGCGTCTTTAAAGTTATTCCTGTTTCGGTCTGCAATTACAACAAAAAAATTTGTTTTAAAAAAAATTCCTGTTTCTGGGTAAGCTGATTTCAAGACAGTACAAAGAGTACAATTTGACTTCATATAATAGATATTCAATTGAATAGTGTTTGATTTTGATAAACGATAAATGGTGTTCACTGGGTTACTAACATTGGAAAATTCCTTGGCAATCCTTCAAAATGCTGCTCCTCGAAGAGTTTTGGTCTGATTTTCATAAGTAAGTTTACGTACTGAACCAAGAGACATAATTTTTTTTTATAATAGTTTTTCATTTCACCAGATGATCAAATTGTTTGAATTTTGTTTGTTGTTAAACGCCCCTCTCGAGTTTTTTTTTTCTCATAGCTTTATAGCTTAACCCAATATTACAAAGATTTCGTCATCTCAGTCACTGTGTCATTTCATCCCGAGGAGTGATGGAAACCCTCGCAGAAAAACAGATCTACCATACAAAGTATAATGCCGCTCATTGTTTTAAGTGTACATCGAGGCTTTGACTTAAAGGTTAGATCCATCAATGAAAGATTGAAAATATGACAAGTTTTCCAAGATTTTCATCATGTCCTGACCATTTCAGTATTTATCAACCCTCGTAAATGCATTTTTCCATGCAATCACGTAAATAGAAACAAATTTACGCAATTTTAAAAACACATGAAAATAAAATGTGCTTAAGATTTAAAAAGATTGTTAAAATTGTTTCATTCATAGTACCTATTGTAGCATGAAGATTTTGTAATATGTAATTATAATGACCTTCTATTCCGTTCGAGTAAAAAATCAATGAATTTATACAAATGCTGATTTAGTACTAGTATATTTATCTTAATGTGGGTCTGCTTTGTACCTTTTTGTTTATTTATATTCTGAAATCATACCGGTATTTGCCAACCACATTATATTTCCATTTGTATAACGAAAAAAGTTAATCGAATATCAGATATGAATAGAACTCATAAATTGACCCATAAAAACGGGTTTCCTTTATCAATTGTCTCAAATATAACAAACTTAATTGCATTCCCTTTTATCAGAGAGTTAGTTCCTATTGTGTAACTCTTCTAAAATGAACATTTTTAAATAAAATCACACCCTCTGCACTTGAATACTCTAGACGACAAAGCACAAGGTAGGTTATTTTATTCAAAATTTACATAATCAGTTTCCAGGGTCTCACGAAAACCAAATTTGATCTAGATTGAAATGTAAAAGTCATTTATTTAAATATTTAAACATAATTTATTTAAATTTCACATTTTAATCTGTATAACAACGCATGTACGAATGCAGGTATTACTATTGAATCATCATTGTTCGTGGGGGATCAATCTTCATGGATATTGTGTTTCACCCTTATCCAAAAATATACGTCCCCACGTACGATTTTTTTCTAAGATATTTATTTGTCAAATTTTCTGTATATGAGTTACGGGAGTTTCCGAAGAAATTACGTCTCCGTGAGCATTTGTTTTTGTTTTTGCACGAACATTGATCTTTACGGATTAAACCGAGTCCAAAATAAGTTACAATCAATGTCCTCAATATTAGATAGAGCAGATAACACATTGTTCTATTACGGTATATATCTTTATAAATATTTCAGTAAATATTTCACTTATGACTTTGGAGGACAAGACTTATTGTTAGTGACTTATTGACCATGTCTAATTTGTCCATAGTGTCATTTACAACACGCCATGACAGCAAGCGAGATGATTTGCATGATAAACTGAGCTGTTTTGCAATCAAGCAATGAGTTCATCTTCGAACATACCTCAAGTTTACATCTCTCTCTCTCTCTCTCTCTCTCTCTCTCTCTCTCTCTCTCTCTCTCTCTCTCTCTCTCTCTCTCTTTACAAAACTCTTTGAATGATTATTTCTTTCCATGATTCAAAACCGTAGTTTTGAAGAAAGTTAATGAATTACAATTGATACTCCAGTTTATTCTACTGCACTATATTACAG